ATGCCTGATAAGTAGCTAATATCAAGAATATACTTAAAGATTCCTACAACTCAATAACGAAAAACAAAAACAGCCTGACTTAAAAGCGAGCAAAGGAGCTAAATAGACATTTCTCCAAAGAAGATATACAAATGGCCAACAAATACGCAAAAAGATGCTCGACATCACTAATCATCCGGGAAATGCAAATCAAAACCACAATGAGATACCACCTCACACCTGTTAGAATGGATATTATTAAAAAAAAAAAAACAGAATAATAATGTTAGCAAGGACATGGAGAAATTGGAACCCCTGTGCATTGCTGATGGGAGCCAAAAGTAGTGCAGCTGCTGTGGAAAGCAGCATAGTAGTTCCTCAAAAACCAAAAATTGAATCACTTTATGGTCCTGTGATTCCATTTTCTGAGTATATACCCAAAGAATTGAAAAAGGAACTCCAAAAGACATTTGTACACCAGTGTTCATAACAGTAGCCGAAAGATAGTGTATTAGTCAGGGTTCCCCAGAGAAATAGCACCAACAGGAGATAGATAGAGAGATATATATAGCACCTGGAGGCTGGCAAGTCCAGAATCTTCAGGGTAAGCCAGCAGGCTGGAAACCCAGGGAAGTGCTGAGGCCGCGGTTTGAGTCCAAAGGCAGGCTGCTGGCAGAATTCCCTCTTCTTCAAGGGAGATCAGTCTTTTTCTATCAAGGCTCTCAAATGATTGGCTGAGGCCCACTCACATTATGGAGGGTAATCTGCTGAACTCAAAGTCTGCTAATTTAAATGTTAACTTCACCTAAAAAATACCTTCACAGAAATATCTAGCATAATGTTTGACCAAATATCTAGGTACTGTGGGCTAGCCAAATTGCCACAAAAAATTAACCATCACAGATGGAAACAACCCAAATGTCTATCAACAGATGAATGGATAAACAAAATGTAGTATATACTTACAGTGGAATATTATTCAGCCTTAAAAAGTGATAAAATTCTGACACATGCTACAATATAGAAAAACTTTGAAGACATTAGGCTAAGTGAAATAAGCCAGTCATAAAAGGACAAATATTATATGAGTCCACTCATATGAGGTCCATAGAGTAGTCAAATTCACAGAGACAGAAAGTAGAACGGTGGTTGCCAGAGGTTGTGGTGGAGGGTAATAGAGAGTTATTGTTTAATGGGTACAGAGTCTCAGCATGATGAAAAAGTTCTGGAGATGGATGGTGGTGATGTCTGCACAATAACGTGAAAGTATTTAATGCCACTGACCTGTACACTTGGAAATGGTTAAAATGGCAAGTTTTATGTCATGCTTATTTTACCACAAGAAAAAAATGAATTGCTTACATGCATAGGTTTACTACATTGCACACACAATGCTAAATGCTTTATATTGATTTTCTCATTTAATGACTATGGATACCCCCATTTTACAGATAGAGAGAGCGACTTGCTCAAGGTACCAGTAAGAAGCAGAGCCGGGGTGGAAAGCCTCTCAGTCTGACTCGGAGTCTGTGTGCCTCATCAGTGTGCTATACTGAAATGAGTGACTACACTACGGCAGTGAGGTAAAAAGCAAATCAAAATATTTTTCAAACAATATTTTAAAGTTGATTCAATATACATAAAACAATTAAAGTATTCCCAAGAAGGTGTCAAATCCAGCCTGGGTGCGACTAATAACAGGACACCTAAAACACCCCTACATTGACCTTCACCATGAGAAGTTCTTATCCCAAAACCACAGCATCCCAGAAATAAGACAAGAAACCAGGACGCCCAAGAAATAGGAGCAGACTGTTTACCTGGCATGTGCCCCATTTTCCACAAACCTTGGAACATTTCATAATTCCTCTGTTTTTTTGAAATAAAAATACTGTGTTCCCATTTATATTTTTAAATTTTATTTATGTTTAGATCTATACCCATGAGCGGACTGTTGGAGAAGGACTGGAAGGATACAGACGAAACTGTTAACAAGGGCCACCTCTGGACTGGGGGTCGAATGGGAGGAAAGCAGGTAAATGAAGGGGAAGCCATTACTTTTGTCTCCCATACACTCTGTTTCAGTTTTTCAAAGGACACAATCATTCGACTGTCAGTTTTGGATGTCTACACAAGTCCAGGGACTACAGTGGTTCTGTTCGGACCAGATGGAAAGACAGAGTGCCGGTGCGCACCGAGCTCCATCTAAGAAATAAAACGTCCCCGGCCCCATGCACGGCACATCCCGTAGACAAGACTCACGTTGGTATTCTGGGCCCTCCAGGGAAATTTTACCAACTCCACGTCTTCTCCCCCTCCAAGGGTCCTTCTTCCGTGGACTTCTCAGCTTCCCCCAGCAAGAAGAGCAGCCCAGCTGTAGCACTCCTACGGCAGGGTAGACTAGCGCTAAGGCTCGGGCTCACGAGTTACACTGGCTCTGTCTGCATCTGCCGTTTGTTCACTATGTGACCTTGGGCAAGTTTCTTAATCTGCCTGCACCTCTGTCTCCTCAGATAATAGGTACCATCCTCACAGGGTTGCTGAGAGTCTTACATGAGCCCTCAGAACAATGTCTGCCATGCATTAGGTGGTCAGAAAATGTTAGCCATAGACAGATCAAACAGGCATCTACAAGCCACAGACTGCTCCGGGCACGAGGGAGAATAAAAGGTCCCCCAAAGGAGAGGGACCTGGGAGATCATTTTACAGACTACGGCCCAGAGATGGCCATAACGGCTCAATGTCCTGCCGGAGGAAGTTGCAAAGGTGGTCAGAGCAGCCCCAGAGCCTGGCTCAGGTTCTCTCTGACACAGCACGATGCCCCCAAGGAAGAGAAAGCAAGAGATCTCCAAACTGACTCTGCACTTTGGGGCACATTACAGGTCTTAACTACTTCAGTAATTGTGCATTATAAAGTTGTAAGTATTAACATGTGAATGGACGGTTCTCTCAGCAGGATGAGAAAGCTATTCTGCACACCCCGTGTGTGTATGGGGTGGGGGAGGGGTGCAACAATCACAGCCACGTCAAAGACTTTAGGACGTGGCCTGTTTCTGAGAAGTCACCGGGTCATAGCCCAGAACTCAAGACCACCTCAGCAGAACTCCAACAGAGCCCCCACAAAGCGAGCCCAAAAGTGGGTCCCAGACTGTCTGTCAAGCCCTGCCCACACACCTGCAGGCCACAGAAGGCCGCAGGAGCAGGGAGGCCACAGAAGTGGAGCAGATGGGGAGGGTATGCTGGGCAAGAAGTGAAGACTGGACCCCAGAGAGGGATCATTCCAGAAACACCTCCCTTATGTAACTGCTGCCCGTTCAGCACGCTGTCCCCCACTTCCACATCAGCTCTGCATGCCATCTTCTCCACCTCTCCCACCTTCCCAACCTTTCCACCCACTAGCCTCTCACAGACCATCCTGCACCACAACCCAGTGTCCCCAGGATAGACCTGCACTTTCCAGCCTTGGGGCTTTTGCCCACGCCTTCTCTTCCTCCTAGAATGCCTGCCACCTGCTGCTCTGTGATCGCTTTCCCCTCAATCCAACTGTCTGACAAAATCCTTTTCCAGAAATGCCAATCCTTCCATGAAGCCATCCTACAATAAGAAGTCCTCTTACCATCTTCTGCACTCCCAGAACCTTCTAGATCTTTCTGAGGTGCTTGATAAGTTCTACCTCACTCCTCTCTTAAGACTCTCACTCCTTTACGCCCTTATACGTTGCAGAGGTCAGAACGGCAGCTGGGAAAACCAAGGAGCAGCAGGGAAGCTGGGAAGGAAGGCAATGAAGAGCGAGTACAACTGCAAAGACTTGCTAAGTGCCAGCACTATTCTAAGCGTCTACCATACATTAATTCACCTAGTCCTCAACACAACCCCGGGAGGTGGGTGCTATTATCTCCACATTACAGAGGAGGAAACGGAGGCATGGATAGGCTGCGTAACCCGCCCAAGGTCAGACAGTGGGGCTGTGAATTGAACCAGGCTGGCTGGCTCTTCATCTTGTTTCCCTGTAATACTGCTCCTTCTAACCCTGCATCCCTGAAAACCACTTCAGCTGTTCCACCCGTTGTACGCGCTGCCTTCCTGGATCAAAACCATGCTCGGCAACTTGCAATTACGGCACCAGGTTCCCACCTACTGCGCCATGAGCCAGGAATTAAAGATCAATTCTGGCCAGATCCGCCATGACAGTAAACAACATATGACAAAGTCTCAAACTCAAAACATTGCTCAGAAAGAATTGTAGACGTCCGAATGGAATGGGCCCCAGGTCATTCACCTGGCTCAGTATTCACCATCATTTCCGTTTGGCCATCCTGAACCGGAGACCAGAACTATCTGCAGGCGTCAACATCTAAGAATCGCTCTGAGCGTAGTTTTGATAGAACCATGGGATTCACGGACGAGTACAAGGTCATTGTTGTATACAGTGGCCTAGCACATGGTGAATATGTTTTTTAACAATCATAAAGGAAGTGGACCTCCCACTGTGAATAGGAGAATATAGAAAAGATATACCTGGGTTACAACTGCATTCAAATGTAAGTGAAACAGCAATTGCCTATAGAATTCAGATTTTAAATAATTTAATATGACACATCCTATTAACGGAAGCAAAAGTTTTGTTAATAAGCCAGATAATTTTCTCAATCTTCTATCAAAACAGTCGAGGAGCGGGGGATGGATAAAGATTTCAGCTTTACAAATGTATACTCTGTTCTCACAGAAAGAAAATAGAAACATAAATTTATCAGTAGGTTCAACTTCGAAGTTAGGAGAGGCTTACAACAGGATACCAGTTAAATTTCTGTTCCCAGGAAACTTAAAAATAGCATACAGATGACTGAAAAATTAAATTAAATTAAAATAGCGAAGCACAAGAAAAGGAAGCCGACGGTCTGTGCAGTCTGTGGCAGCAAGCCATATTTGTCCCCTTGATGAAGAGAAGATCAGTGAGAAGGCAGACTCAGGACAGAGATTACAGCGGGAGAAATGCGATATCCAGCACGGATCCAACTTACCCAACTCGGTCTGTCTACTCAACACTTTATTTTTCCCACTTTGCCAGTTTTAAATCAGACAGCGACTGGGCTTTTGTTGTTGCTGTTTCTGGTCTTTTGATCTCAAAGCCCCATGAAAATTACACTGTGTGTTGGATAGGATCTGGCCCCGTCTCGCTTTAGGGGGAACAAAGTTTTAGGCTTGGATCCTTGGTTGCTTCTTCGGGAAAACAAATAAATAAGAGAGGCTGGAAGGAGAGGACGTGGGGGACGTGCCCAGCTGACGTCGGGCCGCGAAGGGCCGCACAGTCCCTGGGCGCAGCTGTCCAGATGTGCCTCATCTGGTCCCCCGCGGGCTCCCAGCTCGAGGCCGCGGCATTCCATAGCCGCAGCTCATTGGTGGCCGCGGTTGCTCGCTGACGACCGATTGGCTGGCCGGCCCGCCACTCCTCGGCCTTGAGCCCGCCCCGCCCGCCGCTCGGTCCTCCATCCTCGGAAGGAACCTGGAAGTGCGGCGCTGATGTGGCACTCGGCGCGGCGGGAGGGGCCGGGAGAGACGGGTACCCGCTCCGGGGCTTGCCCCTGCCTGGCCCGTGTTGTGCCCATCCTGTTAGCCCGTTAGGCTGCTTTGTTTAAACAGGATGATGTCAATCTGTTTGGGGGAGGAAATGAAGGCGCGCCCAAGGCTCGCTGAAGTCCCTGCATTTCCATGTGGAAGGGACTGGGGCTCCAGGATGCCCACGCCCCCAAAGGGCCTTCAGGCCACGCCTCAGGACTTCACTCTCCCCTCTTTCTCCCGGGAGACAGCAATAAAACCTTCAAAAGCCTGCTGCATGGGGACAGTATGCTCTTGTTGGCGGAAAAACTTTATAATGAACCCTTCATTGGAGTCCTTATTAACCAGAAAGGTGGTTGTTTCTGATGATTACAGGAGCGCTTTGGAAGACTCGGCTGGTTTGGGGTTTTTTGCCGGGTGGTGGTAGCTGTAGGAAAAGGAGAATGTTCTTTGATTCTGTGAGAATTTAGACAAGACTGCACCAAACGATCCTGGGGAAATCAACTGCTTGGTTGACTAGTTGAAGTCTGCAAATAATTGATATTATAATTTGAGGATATTGACAGAAACGTGACCGCGTTTGAAATATTAAGATGGCAAGAGCTGTACTCATTGGGCCCCACACCGTGAAAGGTGCCAGGTCCTGGACTAAACAGCTTCACCTACATTATCTTATTTAATTCTTCCAACCACCTATGAAGTAGATATAATTATCTCCATTTTCAGATAAAGCTACCCATGCTCTTCAAATGGGAAGCCTATCCCAGCCTGTCGCAGAGGTCTCCAATACATGTTTGCAGTACTGCCCCATGGGTAGGTAAATGCACCTGCCTTTTGCCAGGAGGAGGTGAGACAGAATTTATTGTGAGTGCCTCTACCTTCTGATGTCCAAAAATTTCACTATGTAGATGATGAGCTCTTGGTTCGTATTTGTTATCTATTGCTGTGTATCACATTACCACCAATTTAGTAAATGGAAACACCGCACATTTATCATTGCACAGTTTCTCAGGGTCAGAAGTCCAGGCATGGCTTAACTGAATCCTCTGCTCAGGGTCTTACAAGGCTGCAATGCAGGTGTCTGTCAGGCTGCTTTCTCATCTGGAGGCTCAAATGGGGAAGCATCTGCTTCCAAGCTCCCTCAGGTTGTTGGTAGGATTCATTTCTTTGCAGCTGTGGGACTGAGTCTCCAGTTTCTCTCTGGATGTCAGCCCGCAGTTGCCCTTCCCTCCTAGAGTCTAGGCTCAGGCCCTACAGTTCCTAAAAGCCAGAAGGTGAATATTATGGGGGGCCGACTTAGAGTCTGTCCACCACAACGGACTAGTCAGACACCTCGGTCTCTATAACCCTGATTGCAATGTCATCATACCTCCACCCTCCCAAAATTCAGGGCCCTGCTCACCAAGTAGGAAAATATGTGAGTGGATTAATAACATTCAATCCCTCTGGCAGTCAAGGAAACTCACAAAGGAGAGTTGGCCCGTGACATTAATTATGAATTTGACTTTCTAGAACATTTGTAATCTGACAATGGTGCACCTTTTATCAAAATAGCTTTTCAACAATGGGCTGATAGTCAAGGTTTATGATCAACTCTCCAAGACTCATTACCATTGACAGGCCTCTGACATTATTGACCACTGGAACAGCATTCTCAAAGATCTACTAAAAAAAGGGGCTGGCCCTGTGGCCGAGTGGTTAAGTTCGCGTGCTCTGCTGCAGGCGGCCCAGTGTTTCATCGGTTCGGTTCGAATCCTGGGCATGGACATGGCACTGCTCATCAAACCACGCTGAGGCAGAGTCCCACATGCCACAACTAGAAGGAGCCACAACTAAAAATACACAACTATGTACCGGGGGACTTTGGGAACGAAAAAATAAAAAATCTTTTTTAAAAAATCTACTAAAAAAAAGATTTCTGGGGACTTCTGCTTGCAAGAAGATGGGGTAGACATAATTTTCCCTGCTTCTCCTGCTAGGACAACTATAGCTCCTGACTTTATATATAAACAAGCATAAGAAATCTTTGAAAGGTTGAAAGAAGAATACAGAGAGGCCAGGAATCTAAGGACCCAAGGAATAATGTGATGGCGAGTTCCTTGAGTTTTCTGTTTATCTCATTGACCCAGACGTGGAACCCAACAAAAGTCTATTCTCTCTCACCAAAGGTCCAGAAAGGAGGAGCTGAGAAAGACAAAAAGAAACCTTTAGACAATATTGGCTCTACTGCAGCCAAACACCACAAAAAGAACTGTGGCTCTGCCCGTAGCCACACCAGCAAAGGCCAAATGGGATCCTGGACTTCCACCATCATCAGGCAATAACAAGGTGAAAAGAAAGGGCTAGTTCTTTGAAAAGATCAATATAATAGTCAAACTTTTAGCACAACTGACAAAGAAAATAAAGAGAGAAGACACAAATGACTATTGCCAGAAACAAAATAGAGGATCTCTCTACAGACCTTGCAGGCATCCAAAAGAAAATAAGAGAATACTACAAACAACTCTACACACATAAATTTGACTTAAATAAAGTGGACCAATTCCTTGGCAAACACAAATTACTGCAGCTCACCCAATATGACATAAATAATTTGAATTGCCCTGTAACTTTTAAGGAAATTGAATTCATAATTTAAATATTCCCAAAAACATAAATCTGCAGGCCCAGATGGCTACACTGGAGAACTCTACCAAATGTTTAAGGAAGAATTAACACCAATTCTACATAATCTCTTCCAGAAAATAAAAGAGGAGAGAACACTTCCCAATTCACTTTGTGAAGACAGTATGACTGATGCAAAGCCAAACACAACCAAAAAGACAAAACTACAGACCAGTATCCCTCATGAATATAGATGCAAAAATCCTTAACAAAATTTTAGCAAATGGGGAGCCAGCCCTGATGGCCTTGCGTTTGGCTGTCACTGCTTTGATGGCCCTGGGCTCCGTTCCCAGGTGCGGAACCACGCCTCTTAGCCGTCAGTAGCCGTGATGCAGAAGCAGCTCACATAGAACTAGAAACTTACAACTAGGGTACAGAACTCTGGACTAGGGCTTTGGGGAGAAAAGGAAAGAAGGAATATTGGCAACAGATGTTAGCCCAGGGTGAATCCTTCCCTACAAAGAAAAAAGAAAGAAAAGGGGCATTAAAAAGAATTAACAAATGGAATTCAGCAACATATAAAAATAATTATACACCATGACCAAGTGGGTTTTATCCCAGGGATGCAAGGCTTGTTCAATATTAAAAAATCAATCCATGTAATCCATGATATTGACATCATAAAGAAGAAAAATCACACAAACCTATCAATCAATGTAGAACAAGCGTTTGACAAAACTCGGCACCATAAAATTTCTTAGAAAAAGAGGAACAGAAGAGAACATTCACAATTTGATAAAGAGCTCCTATAAAAACCCCACAGCTGATGTCACACAATGTGAGAGACTGGATGCTTTCCATACCTACTTTGTGACTTTATTTATATAATATCCTTGCAATGACAAAATTATAGAAAGGGAGAACAGATTCATGGTTGCCGAGGAGGGTTATGGGGATGATGAGGTGGGAGGGAAATGAGTGTGGCTATAAAAGGACAACATGAGGGATCCTTGTGGTGATGGAAATGTCTGTAGCTTAACTATATCCATGGGATATGGATGGGAGATTGTACGATGATTTTGCAAAATATTACCATTGGGGAAAACTGGTCAAAGGGTGCATGAGTTCTCTCTGTATGATCTCTTACAACTGTATGTGCATCTACAATTATCTCAAAATAAAATGTTTAATTATGGAAAAGATTTCTGACCCTGTCTCCCTCACCACTTCCTGGTCCGCACAACTTGGGACAGCAGTTTGGTCACTGGATGCAGCCCTCTCCTGAAGGGACCATCTCCTCTCAGCGGCTTTCTGGGTCACATTCTGGATGAAAGAGGTGGAGGGTTCTACAGAAGTGTTTTGAAAATTTAGAATTCTTCCCTGACCATTCTTTCCCCCTAATAGCACACCCTCCAAATGGCAGCTTGGCCAAAGGTGGGCCTATAGGATCCAAATTTAATTCTGGTTTGAGCCACCTGCATTCTCTTACTGGTTTGACATGGTCCTAGATCCTAAGGACAGTGAACACTCGGTTGAGTACACTACTCACCGAGTCCTCCTGCAATAGGCTGTGCCTAACCCTCTGGACAAAAGATATGGATGTGACTGGGAAAGAGGTGAGGTTATAGCTCCTGGAACAGACACACTGATTTTGTAAAGGGGAAGGGAGAGCAAAAGCCTGGTACCTGAGGAGGGACACAGTGAACCCAGGACCTGCAGTGGAGTAGGGGGAACATAATCATTCTTTGTCTTTGGGTGCCTCTTTGCCTTCCCCAGGGAAGATGCCTTGATGCAACTCTCCCAAACTGTTGCAAGCATTTTAGGTGACACTCTAGGTCTGTCATCTCCTGTCAGACAACTCTGACCACAATTTAATAGCTGTTCCCCTCAACCTTACCAAAAAGTCTATTGGAACAGAAAGCATGACTCCAGCTTCCATACCTTGCCCGCAGGACACTTACCAACATCTCTGAAATGCCACTTGGCTAATGGCATGGACAAACAGGACACGTTGGAAAGACTACCTGAGGGACTAGCCTCAATTGTTCTACCTTAACTGGGAACCCTCAGGCTTACCAACTAACCAGGGGGCCACATTGGGGGCGCTATCCATCTTCTGATGCAGACTTCCCTGAGCAGCCCCAACAATTGTCAACAACCCTGGTCTTTCCAGGGACACCATGTGCATCCCCAGGACTCTACTGCTTGAAGTGGAAGC